AGGAAATGGGAGAAGAAGAATATCATGGTTAAAAAACCTGAGGAAATGGTTCTCCACAACAACAACTAATCTATTTAAAGCATCAGTTAATAAGATAATTATAGTCAGAATGATCGCCCATATTTGAAATGAATAGGCACCAAAAGAAGAAGATATGCGGGTATAAAGGCTTTAATAGGCACGAAAAGAAGAAGATAAGCGGGTATAAATATGCGATAGGCTTTCTGTAGAGATTTCGGCGTCTTTTTAATTAACAATCTAGTGAACAAAATGTCTAAAAGCTGTCTTAAAAAAGCTTTAAAATAGCGATTGCTAAAGGTTGTAAAATTAATTTGTTGCTTCGAAAACTGTCAAATACGGCAAAATCGTTTATATTATACGTCATTGATATTACCATACTTCTATTTTCAGTTGGAAGTGATTTAAAGTATTAATAACCAGAAATAAGTAAACCAGTAACCAGTTTTTCCGACTAATGTAAAAAGTAGGTAGATACGAATAATATTTCAGAGCAACTGGTTTTTTATTGCCGATCAATTTATTTATTTATTCCCTATGAATCACTCCGTAGACAATCCATTTAGGAAAGTCAAATAATAATGTATGGCATTATTCAATGAACTATAACAGTTGATATTATTGCTTTATGATTGTAGCATTAGTGATTTGTTAATAATTGTTTACAAACGAAAATAAAGGAGAGGTATGTTAATAGGATGAAGTTAGTCATGTGGTAAGATGAGTCAATCCTTTAAAAATAAATCTTTCGATTATACGGGGACGAGCCAATTGATTTGCTTAAAACTATGTGGATATTTTGATCTTATATATAGAAGATATTAAAAAAAGGTTCTTGAACTCATAATTGGGGCATAGAGCTTCAGTGAAAACGCGCCATCGGGTTTTATTTGGTGCTAATGCCTTTACCTAATTCCAAGACTTTCCTTGACCTCTTATCTCGTCCATGATGGAACTTCTCCAAGTTTGTACTGTCTTTTCCTTCTTCCTTGGGGATGCCACTCTAGGGCAATCTTTGCAATACTGGAATGATTTTTTCTGAGCGTGTGAGCAATCCAACCCCACTTTCTGGACTTTATTTGATGTTCTACCCTTTTTTTGTTCGGTCGGGTGTAGTAGATCTTCGTTTCTGATTATGTTAGGCCAGAAAATACGAACAATTCGTCGTAGACATTAATTCATAAAGACCTGCAGTTTATCTGTAAGGGTTTTTGTCACCTTCCAGGTTTCACATCCGTAGAGTGGAACAGACATGACATTTGACTGGAATATCCGGATCGTCCGGATATCCGGATCCGAATATCGTCCTCTGTACCTCCGCTTTCTATGACACTTCCAAGATACGTAAAGTTTTCCACATTTTCAATCTGCATGTAGTTGATAGTAAATAGCGTGTTGTTTCTTGCATTTACTCTCATGAATTTGGTTCTACTAATATTGATTTTCAAATATACTTTATTGGCTTCAGTGGAACGTGTTTCCAATTGATCAGCCACATCGTGGAACCTTTGTCCTAACGGACAGATGTCGTCTGCGTATTCCAGATCGCTTAGCCATGTTGTTAACATCCATTGTATCCCTCTTGTGTCGGAGTCTAGTTTGGAGAGAACATAGTCTACTGCTATGTTAAAAAGAAACCGAGAAAGCACACATCCCTTGTCTGACTCCAGTAAATATGTCAAATCCATCGCTGTTGATTCCATTATGTGTCACGCTGCATTTCGTCTCAGTATACAGTGACTTCATAATGGGCATAAAGGCACGCTCGAAGTCAACAAAAACAATGTATAGGGGTGTGTTTCATTCAACCGATTGTTCCATTATTACCCTCACAGTATTAATATGGTCTATGCAGGAGGATTCTGGTCTAAAGCCTGCTTGACCAGCTCAAAATTCAATCTTGTTTGTTAACCTTTTCAGTATGATGGTCGTAAAGATTTTATTTGTAAGCAAGGTTATTTCTCTCCAATTTTTGCACAGTGTGAGGTTGTCCTTTTTTCTAAGCTTAATAATGTTATCCCTTTGCGATTTGTTTCTCACACCTCTCGGATTATGGGGAGCAAATATTCAGCAATTAGATGCGGATGCGAATTCAGCTTATCTCATGCTGCTTTGTGAAAAATTTTAGAGCTAAGAAACATTCCGCATAAAATAATTTCCATTATGAAGTCACTGTACACTTAGACGAAATTAAGTGTAAGTGTTAAGCACTTAGATGCGGATCAGTTTTAAGTATTTCGGCAGCAATTTTATCGATTACCGGAGACTTGTTATTTCTCAGAGATTTGATAGCTGTTATTGTCTCCGTTTTGGAAGGGGCCTCACAAGATATACGCAAGTTTACATTCTGCGGGTTTTCGACAATTTCATCTGTGTGTTCCCTGGGCGTAGCATCTCCTAAAAATGCTCTTTCCATCTCTCTACGTGATCATTTGTTGTAGTAAGTAATTCGTCTGTCTTGGATCTTATAATTTTTGAACAGTTGGGTACATTTTTTGTTAGTCGTCTAGTAATTTGGTATAGCTCTCTAGTTCTGTTGTGTTGTGCAGCTGTTTCAGCTTGTTTTGCCAGTTCTTCAGCCCACCTTCTTTTGTGTCTTCTTGCATTTCTTTTAACTGCTTTATTTATGGTTTCATATTCTTGTTGTCGGTTCGCTCTTTCTTCTACAGTTCTTGCTTGCAAAATATCTTTCTTTTGATGTTTTCTGTCCTCGATAAGATTCCAAATCTCATCTGACATCAATTCTTTTCTATGTTTCTCTTTTTTACCCACTTTATCTTCAGCCATTGCCAAATCTTCCCAGCTATTTACTTCACGTTCTCTTGTGTTGAATTGGAGTTCCTCCCTAAACATGTGTCGTCCTGGAGCTGTTTTTAATTTGTTTAAATTGTAAGTTGGTCTGTTGGTGTTTCGCGTGATTTTGTTTTTTGCCATCTTGATTTTACTGGTACCGATTACGAGATGATGGTCACTTGCGATATCTGCTCCTCTTTTATTACGTACATCAAGAAGTGATGATCTCCATATTTTTGATATGGCGACCTGGTGCAGTCCATGTAACCTTGTGGACATTTTTATGCGGGAAGATGATTTCACCAATAACTAAGCTATGATTGGAACAAAAATTTGTAAAACGCTCTCCGTTTTCATTCATCACTCCCAGGCCATATTTGATCATTATGGTTTCAAAGTTAATATTGTCTTCTCCAACTTTAGCGTTCATATCGCCCATCAATACTAGAATATCGCCTTGGTTTACATGTTGGGTTGTTTGTTCTAGGTGTTCGTAGAAAATGTCTTTACCTTCGAGGGGGGATGTGTTCGTGGGACCGTAACACTGAATCACTGTTATCTTGCGGTATCTGGTATATCAATCTGGTATCACTTGTCGCTCTTAAGGAGTCGAAATACCGTTGACAAAGGCACTTATAGACTTATTTGAAACAATGAGCAATTCACAATAAACGCCGTTGTGCCCTATGGCCGCCCTCGTGTGGTGCGCGAACTCCACTACTGCTAGGATCGGCCCTGAACATATATCGCAGTCCCAGAATAATAAATAATCAGAATGCCCACTCTTAGATGCCGCCTTTGAAGTTTGTCAGCACGGGAACGTCATGTTTTAGACGGAAGCATAGACTCGAATTGAGAAATGTTTGACAAGCTACGACAGAACTGTAATTTAAATTTTAGAGATTAATAATTTAGTGCATTTGAAATAATTTAATATTCTTCCACTAAAAGTAAGAATAAAATAGTGCATATTACGTCTGTAGTTGACGTAAATAAATTAAACCAGGTTAATTTGTCTATGCACACCAGATAAAATGTCACTGAACAGCAGTGGTTCCGTTTAAAACATGGCTGGTTCCGTCTGCGCGAACGATATGCGCGTACTTTTTTTGCAGAGTGGGCATTCTGATTTGCAGTTTCAGAATAAACGCCTGAAATAATTTCAGACTTTTAAGGAAAATAACTCAGTTAAACATTTCTACCAAAAAAAAAAACAAAAGCATAGACCACAAGAAAACTGAAAATGGAACATAATATCTCGAAGAAAGCCGCAATAGTGCTAAGAACTGAGAAACAATACAGTATTTTTTTCGACAATCACCATAAGGCAAGGGATTTCTAACAATTGTGTTAGGATCTATATAGGTAGAATATCAAAAGTTACGCAAATCCATCCAAATTCTTTCGTATATTTTTATTTATTAACAATTTACCTGAAAAATGTTTCACACAAAACTTTGGGATGTCAATAACAAATAGACTTGGCAACCCTGGAAACAGTGCCAAAAACTCCTAACTGTCATTTGCACTCCATAAATTAAACATCAATTGTGGTCTGTGCCTTCGAGCCATCGTGTCGACGATATTTTCATTATGTATATATTTTTTTGGGCATTAACATTATTTTTATTGAGAATATGTTGTAATAAGTCAAAATAAATATCTAAAATTATTTTTGGAGAACTTCGTAACAGTTGGTTACACTGTGATGACGTAGAAATGACATTGATGACGTATGACTGACTTAAAAGGAAATAGTGTATGTATAAACATATTGTTCAAATATATGTTAGTAAAAAATAAAATAATGTTAGGCTGGTATGTCTTGGAATTATAATGTAATACGATATTGTAGTATCAGTATTGTAGTATATATCAGATAACAATAGGTATTCATAATTTTGTTTATCACTCAAATTTAACATATTATAAATAAATGATGACTAAAGGCCACCTTGCTAAAACTCCATAATAATATGGTATGTAAATTACACAATAATTTAACAATAGTTCATTTATAACACAAAAATGCCTATTTCTTCCCTTATTTTCAAGATTTATATCAATTATTAAAAATAAACATATTTCATTCCAGTGTTTATTTATTGGCCAATGACCCCATTGTCATAAGTGGTTCCAAAATAAACAATAACGTTATATAATATTAATATCGCAACATTACTACTTACCAACACTGGGAAGGTTTTGTGGTGTGCTCGGAATGGGGTAGACCCAACCTACTGCCGTATATCTTTCCAAATCTTCAGCAATACAACTTGGATACGAAATATTTTGGTCCTTTTTAACGATATAGGTCAGGTTAATGCCGGTAACACAAAGAAAGGGGTAAAACACCAACAACAGAGCAAGGTACAACATTTTGGCCCTCCTGAAATGTTATCGTTTTAATTACTCATATATTTTTAAAATACATGGGAGAGGATAAATAATCTATTCGCACATATTCTCACTCTTATTTCAAATCTAGACACATTCTTATCTGATTGAAAATGTTTACAAAGCAGTTGCAGCGTGAAATTATCGGAGTGGGAATTTTAATTATAAAGTTCAAAACGATACATACTTGTCTTGGATTAATTTGTTATAGCTCATTGTGTTTGCGGAACATCGTGTTAATGCACGGCCTGTTGTAATTGAAACACTTCTCGCCGTGTATAAATAGAAAAGTCCTTGAGTTTTATATCATGTAGTCCCTGCTTTCCATTTTTGCCATTGGTTAAATAACCATAACCATTTGGTTTATTTACACTTTCAGGTGCTGGTAAATAGACAACTAAAGATGGGAGTATTCGAATACTGGAATCGAGTAGTATCCGATTCCTTACAGAATCAAATGTACTCGAGTACTAGAACTGAAAACCGATTGAGTACTGAGTACTGGGTACCTGCCGAATATAGATGGTTGTAAATTACAGTAATTTTCGGGTTATTCGGAATTTATTTGTATCTGGCACCTCGGTTCCATCTGAAAGAGTCTTTTCGAAGGCAGCGCAATTAACGAACGATCGTCGAAGCCGACTATTACCAAGAAACTTGGACAAAATTATATTTTTAAACAGTTTATATTCTTAACGTAGTTTTTGTTTTATTTTTTTTGATGATTTTTTTTTATTTTATTTTTATTTTACTTAATTTCTATTTTTAATGTTCATTTAATATTTAACCTGTTTTTTATTTTTTAGACAATAGTAGAATATTGAAAGTTTTTTATTAGCTAAATAATTACTTTATTTATACCAAATATTATATTTAAACACTCTCTTATTAGAAACATTTTTGGTCCATTTTTGTGATACCTATCTTATTTGTTTTCAAAACTTATATTTATTATAAAACAAAAAAACATACGTAAAACACACACAAATAATTGAAAAATTATAGATGCCTAAAGATTGACAAACCCACTATTAATTCAAAATCTGATAGCTACAGTACTCGGTACTCAGTACTCAATAAAGTATCCGATTCCTTACTGTACTCGATTCCACGGTAACCGATTCCCATAAGTAATCGATTCTGACCATCACTATAGACAACCGGTACAGCACTACTGCAAAAAGAATTGTAAAAACAGGTGGTCCATACGGTAAATCTTTTGTGTAGAGGTGGACAATCAGTTATTGACAATAACCGTTACTGTGCTTTATCCATCGAGCAAAAAGATAAAAGAGGGAATCTAATCGTTATGAAAAGGAGACCAAAAAAGTGGCCTCTGATGGCGGACATATCCGGAAATGCAAAGGCGCTAAATTTAAATTTTCCAACACTTGTTAACAATACCTGTAAAATATTTTTCAGACAAGAAAGCTTTAATTAAATATTAACGATAATAGTCTAAAAAGTGACATAATTGGTAAAAAACTTCAATATAAATAAAATTTCATGTGACAGTTGGGACAAACAATAACATAACCAAACTAAATTTGACTTCTTAAACAAGGAAAGAGACTGTCTTTCCTTGTTTAAAGTGGCCTCTCAAGATGGCACTTCCTGTCTAACAATATTGTTGTCCCCACTACCTTTACATTCCCTCTTTTATCTTTTTGCTCGATGGCTTTATCTCACAATCTGTTAATTCAAACTCAGTCTTGAAAAACCAAAAGTTAGAAAAAGAAAGCTATGTGTTGTGTTTTTACAATGTTATATACTTATTAACTTTGCTATATACTTAAAACTAAGTTTCCAACGTAGTTACCTCAATCATAGAATAATAAAACATTGTTATTTATTATGTTCCTCAATATTCCCTCCAAATTATTATTTCTCCTTTATGAAAGTTTCTAGATTAAATCAAGTACACTTATTTACACTTTCCCCCTTTAATTTTTACATCTTTTTTATTTTTTCATTAGAGAATATTTTTTGTCGAACATAGTATTTTTATATTATTTCCTATGTAAATTTTTCCAAAATCGGAAGATTATTAGGAAAGTTATAATGAAATTTTGTTTTCACTGGGTGTAGAGGAACTTTAAAACAAAAAGCATGTTAAAACGCTGTTACATATTCTTTACAGAGCTGCACGGAATAGACAAATGGTCTCATACAGAGTTAGTATTGAAAAATTAGAAGACTTTGAGATAAAAAATTCCCAATAGAGTGGTATAATAAGATATCTGTTTAAACAAAAATATGATAGCCCATTCGCGATTGAAAACAAAGTATCTGACCTCTGGCGGAATAAATTTAAACTACTAAAAGTGGTATAAACAAAACAGACAGCTGTTGATTTGAATAGAATTATTAAATTTTTTTAGTAAATTTCAGCAATTTGACTACGTTAAAGTATTTTAAATCAAATCGATATTGTTCTGGTCCTCAATGCAATTTAAGATGTACAAAAGATATGTCCCTATTTCTCTTTCCTCAACTGGAAAACTTGAAGAAAAAATGGTCTAATGCTTTAAAGGTCCAAAAGAAAGTAACGCCTTATATGTACGTTTGCAGTCTACATTTTCTTAGCAGTAACTTAATTTTGCCAGGTTAGTAATTAAATAATACCATATTTCTATTGATAATATCCCAAAATACATGTTTATAAATTAAACAAATATTTTGATTGTAATGTCAGACATCTTGCAGATATTGCAGTAACAACAAAGAGAAGAAGGTTAAAGAAAAATGCTGTGCCATCCCAAAATTTACCTCAAAGTTCTGTCATTACAAAAATCAATAACTTAGCTATGACACAAATTGCGATGGACAGAATCCAAAGAAGAAATATACAGAGGTATGTACTTACATCACAATGTTTTAAACTGTATTTAACATTTTTTACTTTGACGTAGGGAGAAATGTTGGAAAATTGTAATAGAAATCATCCAAGTACATCAGCAATGTATTACAGTATATATTTTTGTCCAGATTTATCTGAAATTAAACCATTTGGTTGTCTGATTAAATGATTGTATTGGTCACAATATTTTGTAAATAAAAGATTTATTTTGTTTTAATAATCTATTTATTATTAATAAAAAACTAAACCTAACAATGAACAAGAAAGAACAAAGAATTGTATTAATAAACTACCTTGTGAATGCGACCACTTTTATTCAGGTAAAACATCAAGATTATTAAATGTTAGAATAAGTGAACACCAAACTTATATTAAAAATAGAGAATTTGATAGATCTCAGATATGTAAACATGCATGGAACAATGAACATAGGGTTCAATGGAAAAATTCAAGTATAGTCCTGAATGAAACAGATAGTAAAAAGAGAAAAATCAAGAAAGCAGCTCTAATTATGCTAATAAGACCAATTATGTTGCAAGTTCATCGGCAGAGTGCAGTAGGAAGTGGTTACCCATATTAAAAGAGAAAATCAATAAAAAGAAAATACCGCTATCATTAAGTCAATAACATATTGAGAATACATAATTTATTTTCTTAAATAACAGAAATACAAATACTTACCATATTGGGCTAGTATAATGAGGTTTTTTCCTCATGATTTATTATGGAATCTTTTAAAGACTAATCATGTGCTATGATCTTTTCTAACAGTTGATATCAAGTTTAGGTTGATTTCATGTAATCAAATGAACAATCTTACAATAAAGTCAAGTTCAAGTTATTTATTTATGTTTTTCTTCTTATGGCGTTCTATCCAATTAATGGATGTTGGTGACAATTCTGGCATACTCCTCTAGATCTTGTGTGGCTCTAAAAAGTGCATGGGCATCGAGGTTTGTCCAATCCCTTATGTTTTTAAGACATGAGTATTTATTTCTTCCGATGCATCGTTTTCCTTCTATCTTCCCTTCCATAATAAACTTTAAGAACTGGTATTTGGAATTTCGAAATATATGACCCAGATAAGCAGTTTTTCTTCTTTTTATTATTGGCACCAATTCTCGTTCTCTGCCCATTCGATTTATGTTAATATACAATAAAGTACTTACATAATATATGTCAAAACATAGAATAAAATAAAAATTAACATACTAAAAACATAAGGCATAATATAAAATACTGCATATATTAGTTAAGACAAACATTACACAGAACATTATATTCTGGGTTCCCAGGTATACACAAAATAGGCTTCATCAATGCACAAGCCAGTTCCAAACATTACAGTTAAAATTTGAGAATTCATCACTTGAAAACTGTTTCCCTTTCAACCAATGGAATCTTTGCTTCACCACAATACTCAAAGATATCATTAAGGCTAATTTCCATTTTTAAATGATAAAAACAACTCGTCTTAAACAGAACTAAACATGGAAAAGCAATGGTAAACATTCGACTTTCATGTTTGTTTGTGGTTTATACCATTTATATCGGCCATGACACTGCAATCCACCTGCCCTCTACATTCAGTTTCAATCGCGAATTTTTGCACTCTAAAAATGTCTTAACGGTTACTGGTCTCTTCACTGTCACTCCCATCTCTGCCGCTAATTAACCTGTTAAGATGTAAATATTATTTTTGTGAAAATTTTATTTTGAGCATTTGTAATTAAAAAACAATTAATTTGTATTGTAAACTCACTACTTCGTTTTTTACCATTTCATCGTAAACACAGTAAAATGATGACCTCCTGCAGTGTTTGATAGCTGTAAAAATAAATAAAACTTGTTATTAAATGCCAATTATTTTTTATCTCTAGTTTTTATTATTGAAATTGATTATTATCCAAATGCGAAAGGAAGGATGAGTAGTGGAATTTATTGGTTTTTATTTTTGTTTTTATTATTATCAAAATATGTGCAAGATGCAAAATTTTGAACGAAATTCTTTTCTTTTTCAAGAAAATAATTTTAGCTGGTTTATATCTTTGGTATTTCTATTCATAATATAATTTGAATTATAATTGGGATCTTTATTGTTACTTATTTTCCAATTTTATCTATTTAAAGCAAACTGGTACTTTTATTTAGTTGTAAAGGTCTGCAGGTCATGTAGACTTAGGTCTATGCTTAAATTTTATGGTACTGGGAGCATCACAATTTTAGATTTACAATACTTTACATTACACAAATATACTTATAATTACCTACTCCATTGCTTCTTTTACTATTTTTCCTCAGGTTTTTAATCCCAGTACTTTGCTTTATCAATTTGTAGGTTTCAGTGTTTTTATAT